AAAAGAAAGAAAGAAAGAAAGAAAGAAAGAAAAGGAAAGGAAAGGAAAGGAAAGGAAAGGAAAGGAAAAAAAACAATGTAGGAGTAGAAGAGCATGCCAGACTCAACATCCATAGGAAAAAAAGATAAAAAAATTATTTTTGAAAGCTCAATCAGGCAAGAAGTTAGAGCTTTGAATATATTAATAAAATAACTGTAATAATGACTTTATTATAAGCCATAATAAATAAGAAGGAAAGCATATATCACCAGAAATTCAAGAGAAAGTATGACCTCACATCCAAAGACACTTAGAAGTAATACAGTGATCCTACAAACAAGTTTATAGAAATAAATTAGACAATTCCCATGAAACGGAGAAATTCCTTTCAAAACTACTTACCCAATCGTCAGAAATAAAAACACCTGAATCCCCTTAAAGCCATTACATAAATTGAACTTGGAATTTAAAACATTTTCACAAAGAAAATGCCAGGCGTAAGGTGCTTCACTGATGAATTCTACCAAACCAAAGGCTAGAAACGATACTGCTGTTACTAAATTCCTTCCAGAAACCAGCGGACAGCAACAGCAGGCACTGAGGGCCAAGCACACCCCTGTACGGAGTCCAAGGTCACCCGGGCTAAGAGCGCCCGCGTCAGGAGCGGAGTGAGCGAGTCCGGGCCAGAGCAGCCGGGCGTCTGACACCCGCACGCGGGAGGTGCGGCACGGTGGCCTGAGCCGACCGAGGCCGCTCTGCCGCCCAAGCAGCGTCATTCAGCGCGGTAAGCAAGTCAGGAATAACGGCAACGGATGAGAGAACCGGCAGAATTGTCATCCACTCTGTATAAAACTTCTCAGCACATTTGGATGGGAAGCGCCGGTGCCTGTGAGGGGCACTTACAGAACTCCTCCAACTAACGCCTCCGCTGGGGGGACAGTGCACGGCTCTGCTGGGCCGCGTCCTTCCACCAGCCAGAGGCCGGAGCATCAGGAGAATCCAAGGTCCCAGTCAGCGTGGCCGACGTCCGGCGCACGCGCTGTGTGTCTTTATGAGGAAAAGACCTTCGTGTATGAGCTGCTTGATTCTAAACTAAAACCTGGGCATTCGGGTCTGACTGCAGGGCCGGCGTTTCGCAATAGGAGCTGGGCTCGGGCTTGCAGTTAGGGCGTCCAGGCCCTAAAAGCTTTGCCATCGCTGACCTAAACATTAAGCAAACACTTACTCTGCTGAAAGATAAAGTAGTTTAAAAAAAATAAAATAAATAAGACCTCTGCAAGCACAGGCAACAACTTTTTAAACCGGACTCCAACTGCCCAAGGAATAGCACCAAGAATCAACAAATGGGATCACGTCACTTTGAAAAGCTTGTGCTCAGCAAAGGGAGGCAGCAAAGGGAGCGGCAGCTGCAGAAAAGCGATTCGCCAGCTCCGCCTCAGACGCAGGGCTAATCTTTACAACACATAAAATAAAATAAAACTCTAGACTCCCCCAAAACCCAATCAAAAATGGGCATGAGTGTTGTCATTACATATCACAAACGTATACAGACATGAAAAAGAACTCCCTGCGGCTGCACCACCCAGCACAGCCTGCGTGGCTGGTGACGCGTCCGCTGTCCCTCTTCCCTGTCCTCTGTCAAGGCGCCCCTCCTCCTGTCCCACACATCTGTCCAAGGTGGGGACATCAGGGACACTTCAGGGCCCCTGGCCAGGCCCTGCACTCGCACCTTGGTCTCTGCTGTGACCCCCGCCACATCCTCCTGGGAGTGCTGGGCCACAAGACCTGCCTACAGTGCCTTGATCCGAAGATTTCACATCGTTAGGGAAAGACGGGACAGGACCAAGGAACTGTTTGTGACACCGCTGGCCAGAGGCTCGGACTGGCCTGCACTAGAGCAGCTGGACCAGGCAGAGGGCAGCACGGGCAGGTGCTCAAAAGGACAGCACAATATCACCCATAACAGCAGCGGCCACACGGCACACTGCTGTGAAAGCCACCCAGCCACATAAGCTGCCTTCACTGGCCGATACGCGTGACCAAGGGACACCAGGATCCTTCCAGCAGCGTCAGTGGGCTGCGGCGCTCTGTCCCCTCGAAAGGCCACACACTGTCGCCCTATTTATCACCAAGTGTAGAGGGATGCTGAGCCAGGAACCCAGACAGCGGGAGGGCGACACCAGCCTTCTCTTTTGTCCACACCAGGCATGTGAGTGCCTTTAAAAACACAAACCTCAAGGCAGGAGCCGTGCGGAGGGACTGCACCCTGGGGGCAGCGGAGGGTACCTCTCACTTCCTCCCCTGCATAAGCGCCAAAGCAGCGTTGCCCGGGCGCCGCCCACGGCACACCAAGAGCCTGTCCCCAGTGCACGCCACGCCCTGTGCTGCAGGGCCCGTGGGAGGACACGGCTCACCTGCGGGCAGTGTGGAGAACTCCACTGAAGCCTCCTTCTTCTCCCTCTGCTCGAGCGGAAGCTGCCAGGGCACCTGGTGGGGCCGCGCCAGGACCCGGACCTTGTAGGCCATGTTGGGCCGCAGGGCCAGGAACTGGTACTTGTAGCGGGCCGCCTTGACGACGTCGAGCTCCTCCTCGTTGAGGAAGATGACGTGGCTGTAGTTGCTGTTGGTGGGCAGCCAGGACAGCTGCGCCGAGATCTGTGTGACGCTGTCCACACGCAGGTGTGAGGGCGCCACCGCCACGTCCCTGCCCACCAGCAGTGTGCACTGCAGCGCATCGGAGCTGCCCCGGCTGGTGACGCACTGCACAGAGACGCGGTAGGTGCGGGCAGCTGTGTCCAGCCTCTCCACCAGGGCCTTGGTCCTGGCGCCCAGCGGGAGGCTCAGGCGTGGCTCGGTGTCCACCAGCACGGTGTAGCCACTCACAGTGCCCCAGCCGGGCGGCACCACCGGGGGCTCCCAGCCCACAATGACACTTTTGGCAAGCTGTTTGATGAGGGTGAGTCTCCTAGGATAAGGCACGATGTCTTCTCCGATGTCGTCGATGTTCATGTCCAGCGAGCCCCCGCCATCATCGGTGGCCCCCGGGTCCGTGTGGGTCGGGGAGTGCAGGTCCAGGATGCGCTCGCCCTCCACGCCCATGCTGCTGCCTGAGTGATTGATGAGATTCTGATCCTGTTCGCTGCCCAGAGTGCCGGCCAGCCGCGACTCACTGTCCTGCACGAAGTCCACGAAGTTGGAGGGCACCAGGCCCCTCTGCCCATCCAGGAGCTCTCCTGCGGCGCACAAGGACAAGTGTCACAACACTGCCCCCCCCCGGTGTCCTCGGGTGCCCCAGCACATGCAGACACTGTGCAGTGGGCCCCAGTCACTGATCCCCGCTCCAGTATCACCCGCACCCTTATCCAAGTAACCCTCCAGCCCTAGTTGGGCTTTCGCACCAGGCCACCACGTTGACACAACGGCCCCTAGCCAGAGTGCTGCCCTGCAGGCAGGAGCACGTACAGCCCCCGTGACCAGCAGGAGCTTAGGAAACACATCGCACCCACACTTGGGAGGTTGATCAGGAACCTCCTGACGCCGAGGGTTCACACAGCAATCAGAGAGTGGCATCTCCAAGCCCGGCAAAGCACCAGGGCATCTCAGGACTGTCCACCAGAGGCGGAAGGGAGCTGTGCTTTGGCCTCACAACTGCTGATGAGTCAAGTGACAGGCAGCTGCCGTCCAAGCTCCACTCGTGGCTACAGACTGCAGGCAGGGATTTGTGTTACGGCCCAGTCCTGATGCTTTTGCGGTCCTGGGCAATGAGGCTCACGGGCCACCTCTGCAGAGGCCCTGACCATGGATAACGCGCCTTGGAGATGAGGCAGGGGGGTGGCTTCCAGCACCCACTGTCACTGTAGGGATCCAGGACAGCTCAGACACCCAACACAGATTCTATTCCAGCCAACCTATCTCAGGGACTATAGCCCTGCAGCCAGCCCATGCCCAGTCTACCCTGCAGAGGGCATGTGACCATGCTAGCAGTGCTGGGCTCTAATGGGGGACAAGGACCCAGAGTCTCCCCTAGCCCACCCAGGGCATGCATGGCCCTTGGGCTTGCTGATCCCTTGCCTTGGAAGTCAGACTGATAGGACAGAACAGTGACAGTGACAATCATGGCAGTAGGGGTGGTGACAGAGGGCGGTGATGGTGACAGTGGTGGCGGTGAGGGTGGAGACAACGGTGGTGGTGGTGGTGAGGGTGATGCTGGGTGGTGTTGGTGATGGTGGTGGTGGTGGTATTTGTGATGGTTGTGGTGCTGGTGCTGATGGTAATGCTGGGTGGTTGTGGTGATGACGGTGGTGGTGGTGGTCATAGTGGCTGTGATGGTGGTCATGGTGATGGTGGTCATGGTGGGGTGCTGGTGGTGATAGTTCTTGTGATGGTGGTCATAGTGGTGATGGTGGTAGTGATGGTGGTGGTGATGGTGGTTATGGTTACGGTGATGGTGGTGGTGGTAACGGTGTTGGTGGTGGTGGTGGTGGTGGTGGTGGTCATGGTCATGGTGGTTATGGTTATGGTGACGGTGGTGGAGGTAACGGTGGTGGTGGTGGTGGTGGTGGTGATGGTGGTGGTGATGGTCATGGTCATGGTGGTTATGGTTACAGTGACGGTGGTGGTGGTAACGGTGTTGGTGGTGGTGGTTCTGGTGGTGGTGGTCATGGTGGTCATGGTGGTCATGGTGGGGTGCTGGTGGTGATAGTTCTTGTGATGGTGGTCATAGTGGTGATGGTGGGGGGGTGGTCATGGTCATGGTGGTTATGGTTATGGTGACGGTGGTGGTGGTAGTAACGGTGGTGGTGGTGGTGGTGGTAGTGGTGGTAACGGTGTTGGTGCTGTTGGTGCTGCTGCTGCTGAAGGTGGTGGTGACAGCTAACATTTACTGAGCTACTACTCTGTGCCAGGCTCTGCCCCAAGCATTTCATATGTATTATCTCACTTATCCTCCGGGATACTCTAAAGGTGGACACTTTCTATCTGAGTTCTACAGCAGAGAAAACTGAGGCTGAGTGATGAGGGGTCACACCGGTCACGGACCCTAAGCGTGGAGGCCTGCAGGTGCAAAGCATGTTGTGAGTGCTGCAGGAACCTCGCCAAGGGCTCGGCTCTGGCTGCCGTGTCCAGCACGCGCATCTACATGGCGTGGTACTCAGCGGGCAGCACACCACAGCCATGACGCTGCCCTGAGGCCAGCCCACAGTGCCTGGCTGCTGCCTCTGGGGCTTCTGCTCGTGATGTCCCGCAGGCAGCCCAGGGAGCCTCCAGTGAGTGGGGACACCACCAGGGGACCCTGCAAGCTCAGAGGAGTGGGAGAGGCAGAGAGCCGATTGGCCAGGGCCAGCAGGAACCTGCATGTCTCCACCCCCTCAGCCCCGCCCAGAGACCTTCATAGAACCCGTCCTCATCCATGTCCCCGTAGATGTAGAGGTATTTGCCCGCCGTGAGAGGCAGCTCGGCTTCTGGGTTCTCATTGGGCCCATCGAAGGGGTTGTAGCTGGAGAAAGAGCACAGGCACCCGTTAGTGGCCCTGGGCGGCCGCACCGAGCCCTCCCCTGCGGGAGGCCAGCTCAGCACACTGCTGCCCGCACTTGGGGCTGCGCGACAAACCTCGCGACAGCAAGGGTGCCGAGTCCTCAGGGCCTCGCACCCACCCCCTCGCTCAGGCAGGGGAGGAAGGGCATTCTGCAGCCCCGACCACGCAGAGCCCCACCACGGACATGTGTGTGATCGTGACAGCGTTTTCGCTTGTCTTTTCCTCCATAGCTACACAGTTCCAAGTTAGTGAGCAAGCAGAGGAACTGAGCTCTGCAGTGATTACGCGGAACTCAGCTAGGGTGCGGTCGGCGTGCACTGTGCTTGGCAATTGTTGTTGTTGTTTTATTTTATTATTATTATTTTTTTTGGCGGAACCAGGGATTGAACTCAGACCCTTGCGCTTGCCAGGGAAGCATTTATTCTACTGAGCCATCTCCCCGGCCCCTAGTGCTTGGCAATTGGCTTTGTATTTTTTTTTTCACTGTGCAGCAAGTGTGCTACATTTCCACCTCACAGAATATCCTGCCTCACCCCTGTAGTGGGTCCACCTCACAGAATA